CACAGACATACTTTGACGACATTTTCGTTCACAGTCGTGAGGAGCACGGGAGGACGGACGAAAAGAGCCACATCGTTCATCTAAGAGCGGTGCTCGAGTGCATGTGCACTAACAAACTGTACGTCAATGCAGACAAGTGCATCTTTGGCGCAGAAGATATTACCTTTTTAGGGTACTTCATTGCGAAGCGTGGCCTTCGAGCGGATCCCGTTAAGGACAAGGTCATTGTAGATTGGCCGGTTTCAAAGTACCAGAGAAACTTGCAAGTGGCTTGGTCTTGCCAATTACCTGCACAAGGTCAGCGAAAACTACGCAGAAATGACCCGGCCATTATCCAATCTCCTTAAAAAGGATGCGGATGGTGTTGGAACACCGAACATCAGTAGGCTGTCTTTGACCCCGTCAAAGCCTCCTGATTGCACCAATACTGGCACTGCCAGACCCAGATCGTCCTTTCAGCGTCGTCTGTGACGCTTCAGAATTTGCCACTGCTGCAAGCAGACGCCGAGGGGCGAGGTCGGCGACAGCTCAAAACTGCAGAGAAAAACAACCCAGTTCATGACAAGGAGCTACTTGCGATGAAGTATGCACTTATCAAGTTCAGGGTCCACCTGCTCGGCTCCAAGCCGTTTGTGATCTACACAGATAATGCGTCATTACGCACTGCGACAAAGTCGCCCCACCTCTTAAAGAGGGTGGCAATATTGCTATTCTCCTTTGCGAAATATAACTTCAAGGTGAAGTATACGCCAAGAAAGCAGCATGCTTTGGCTGAAGCGTTGTCACGCAGACCAGACTATGAGCTCATGTTACAGCTGAAACGATAGATTTGATCCGCACCGCGTATGCGGGTGATGGGATGTGTGTAGCTCTGCTACGGACTCTAAGGAGCAATAACTTTGGAAACTTGGACAAGAAATTGTCATCACGAATGCGTGCACAAGTGCACCGATATTCGTTGAATAAAGGGTTGCTATATTTTAGCACCGATTCATCGGATACACCACGAATTGTGGTTCCTCATGATGTGGATCCGAAGTACCGCATCCTCTATGAGGCTCACGACACGCCACTCAGTAGTAATCTCGGTCGTGAGAAAACGTACAACTCTATGAGTCACCAATATTGGTCGCCCG